CGACAGGCGTGCCATCATCTGAAGCAAATCGTCTTGCTTGAAAGAGCCTGTGGACATTGAATCCGATGCATCTGATTGTCTCCTGGATTGTTCTCGGTCATCCATGGGAAGGATGTCGGCGCGATGCCTCTTCGGGAAATATTTCCTATAAGCCGAGAATAAATCCTAATAGGATTGAATATATGGAACCATTTCTAGATCCTTAAATACAGGTCAAACTAGAATTATGCAAACAATAAATCCAATCCTAATATAGAGCCAAGACTATATCACTTAGAATGGCATCTAGAACATCGAATTACGTAATTATACGACGAACGAAAGTCGAGGCATATTGAATTCCAAACCCATGTTACGGGTGCATGAAATCCAAGTGCTGCTATAAAATGGAATACCTGATCAATCAAAAAACAATTTTGTTGCAATTCACAGAAATGGATATTCAATTGTGTCGAATGCATATACCACTAAATGTAAACCTCTAGCATCAACGTCGGTTCCACTTATCGAAAATCAATTTCAACGAAAGCAAATCTGTATTCGATAATTTGCCTAAAATAGATTAATTATAAAGGTTCATAACGATAACAACATTAACACCATTTCTATCCTAAAAGATTCGTCTAACCAAAAACCTTCTTTATCAAGCAAAGAACCGCTAATTCCATAAGGCACGCATCGCAATAAATCCAAACGCATATCTTCCCTGCTCTGCTCGGAAGGCTATACGGTCCTACGGACTTACATATTATTTTGTATATTCGTATTCAAAACCCATCGAATATATAAGATCATTCAATATAACCCTAGCTATTTCAAATAACGTTCCACCTTAGGCCTCAAAAACATATCATCATTCAATCGAAATGCTGTATGCATTCGATTTCCCCCATAATTCTATTTATAAAAGAAAATATATAAATTCTTTGTTTCATTCTGTTAAATGTATAATGTATAATTGAAAAATACATTCGCTTTGCATATTATCATATAATACCGACAAATCCTATCGCTACGACAATAATAATCAACCCCCAAAACACGTACGACCACATATCTAATTGGGACATTTTACAACGACAACAACGCCGACACTAACGCCCGCACCCTATTTCCACCACGCGCGTCATCCCAGACCGACACCCACCACCAACCTATCTCGAAAATGCGCACAACCAACTCATTCTTATTTAAAATCAAAAATCAAGAATTATCGACACAATCATAAATAAAAGCTATAACGCGAAATGAACATCTCCAAATTATAACAAATATGTTTGTATCGTTTAATAGAATCCAAATCTCTAAATATTGCGGAATTTTAAAAAGTGGATCGAAAATTTTCAGAATAGAAAATTGATGAAAATTGGATTTTCGACCTCGTCATTTTAGGTCAATTCTCATTTACGGTTGTAATATCGGATTTCCGACAGGACGTGCGCAATGGGCCGAAGGGTTTCCGTTTTATGTAACAATATTAAAAAATATAGTTATTTATATTCATTCTAAGTCTCAAATTTGCATCCCAATCTTTGAAATGCAATAATTCTCCTGGAAAAATTGTTGCATACAAACAGACTAAGGACGAATCAACATGTTATATTAAACAATGAAATCGTTGTTATTGCCAATTCTCCTGTATCGTGTTGCGCAAGAAAATTGTGAGAAGAGAACCGTGAATGAAATGGCTCACCTAAGAAGTCATCTCGGCATGGATACAAGGACCCAGGCTCAGAACATGGGAACAAACGAATCAAGGGATCCTTCCATGCATCCTAGGCTTCAGCAGTGAAAATCTCTATCATGGTCATGGTCCATAATTGTGTTTGCAGTAAATTATTGAGATAGCATGTGGTTCCATTCGAATGGAGTGTATATATCTGTACGAAATCAATCAATCATTTCCTCATTCTTTGGGAAATGGCCACGGCCAAAGGCGAATGCTGAAGGCCTGTCGGCCGAATCCTCAACAAGGTGAGTTGTGTGATCCCATTGCCGATCAATCGTTGGATATGGCTGAATAATTCGGTGGCCTCGGTTATACGCAACGAAATCTCGAATTTCCAGGGGATTGCCGTGACCGCATCCTGTGGCAACGTGTCTTATTTCAAGGATCTCAAAATTGCAAATGCTTAGGACTTGTAAGCGCTGAAGGGTCTGACAAATCTCCTGGCAATTGATGGGCTCCTATTTCGTAGGACGCAAGGTCCGGGCTTTTGTATCCCACGCCAAATAATTCCATCGACGAACGGATATAAATATTCCCTTCGAAATCAAAATCTTCATCAATTCGTCGTCCATTTGGTCCAATCGGAGCTTCCCTGCACGATCGATCAAGGCCTGAATGAATTCCTGGAACAATGTTGGCCTAAGAGATTGGGTGGCCTCTCCAACTTGCTTCTATAGATTCCAAAAACAAGATTTTTCGAGCAATCGCGGCATCAGGCTGCCGCGTCCACACTGAGCAAACACCAAAAAACGAACGATCTAAATTCATCTCGTTCAATATGTCTGTTTGTCAAAGCGATAGGCGTGCTATCAACTGAAGCAAATCGTCTTGTTTGAAAGATTCCGTGGACATTGAATCCGATGCATCTGATTGTCTCCTGGATTGTTCTCGGTCATCCATGGGAAGATATTTCCCATAAACCGAGAATAAATATTGATAGGGTTGAATATATGGAATCGTTTCCAGATCCATTAATATTATATTTGAGGCCAAGGGGGGGGCGAAAGCTAGCGCTCCAGAATGGGAAAGTGGAGGGCAGCGAGGTAGGAAAAAACACGGCGCTCTTTTTGGAGGCAGGGGTGAAGAGTCCTTTATATGTGGCTCTTTGCCCGGATCCTCCAGCGAGAGAAGAGAGAGAAGAGAGACGGAAAGACGAGAGACAGAGAGGAGAGAGAGAGAGAGAGAGGAGAGAGAGATGAGAGAGATGAGAAAGAGATGAGAGAGATGAGAGAGATGAGAGAGACAGTGAGACAGTGAGAGAGTGAGAGTGAGAGTGAGCGAGTGCGGCCGCAAGATACGCAACGCTAACCGCATGCCAAAGAGCGACGACAGGACGGAGTC